ATATATATATATATATATATATATATATATATATATATATATATATATGAATAGAATAAACCTAATTACAACCTCTACTAAAACTCATGCAACTCTGAAACTATTCCTCTCTCAATCCTGGTTTCATAAGGGGTGATTAAACCCCTATTTATGGGGTATGATTTTAAATATATTAGGATTCATCATAATTTTATTTAAATTGAGCATCCTAAATCAAGTTGAACTTTTACGTCGACATCTTCAACGTTAATTAAACTCTATCACCAGTATCCTTACTCGCTTCATTAGAGTCCAGTATTGCTTTTACTTTGGGATGCTCCATTTGTATTGTACGAGACCTCGAAGAGTGAGGAGTTCGGTGTGGTTCATACATTTATACCGATAATAACAAATGATGTAACATCGTATATATTTTCTAACACGAATCTGGTAAAAGTAAATCCAATAGATCTGAATACTTAAAAATAATAAATATATAAATATATATATCTATCCAACTGCGCGCACCCAATTCAAGAATCATGAGTGTCCAAAAGTCATAGGATACATGAATTCAGCTTGGTGACTTCTTTATTTGATTATTAAAGTCAGTCATCATTACATCCAATAGGGCTAGGAATTTGTAACTATGAAATTTCCCATGAATGTGAGAGAGATTGCACTTTGCCTAACTGATGCTGACATTTTATTTCATCTACTACTACTGATGACTGAAATTTCTTATGCATCTACTGATGTGAGACTGCACTTGCCTAACACTTGCCTATAAAATTTCTTTTTCATCTACTAATGAATTTTAAGAGTCACGCATCTATAATTAAATATGTTAAGTTATTATTTTTTATTAGTCAAAATTAAATGATCTAATTAAAATATAATTATTTGACTAAGGAATATAATTATTATTATGAAAATTAATTATGTTGATATCATCAGTCATATTTCTAATTTGACGATATAAATTAGGAATAACAGATTTATCAATTATGAATATAATCATAATTGTAGATTCATCGGTTATGATTATAAATAAGGTTATGGTCCTCGGTTACAGTATCGAATGAAACTTCTCTTCACTCATCAAAAAGAAATCTAAAGTTCTTAAGGATATTTGCAATTGGAAGATCAAATCATCAATTAATTCAGAAAATATTCTAATAGATTCATTTGGTACGTGTTAATATGTTTCTGCTTTCATGCATATTATAATGAATTTAATAAGTTTTATGAAAACATTCTTAATCCATTGTTTTGGATCTATTAAGTTTATTTTTGAACCAAAATTCGGTTTTGATTCTATAAAACAATTGTTTGATCTATGTTAAAGAACCTAACAGCATTAACCAGAAGAACAGCCCAATCGAAACATCATTATCAGCTCTAGTAAACTCCACGGTGAATTCCATGATCTCATATTATATTTAACAGCAACATTAGTTCCTATGCCCATCAGTGTCATGCTTGAACTAAACCACTCTCCCTCTTGATGGATGGAGATATAGTCAGATGGCCAAGTGCTGGGTGACTCGTGAAGGTGGCTACAGAACCCGTTTACTGGACACATAAAACCTCTCCTATTTCAACGCAACTAGCTCTTAAGAAGAGACATTATTGGGTTCTGTAGCATATCATCGAATATAAACTTACAAGACTATAGAGAAGAATTATCCATCATAGCAACGAGAAACGAGACTAACCCAGCTTAGGTTAGCTGGGATGAAACCTCGACATAAACCTTCCGCTCTCCGATACAAGGGATGGCAGCTAAACTGGAATGACTTTGGACATTAATAAACGTCCCATGGTCCACAGTAGTGCTAATTATAGACGTCGCTTTTCAAAGATCAAAGTGGGGTATGGTATGATGTTGTTGATATTTGTTTCTTTTATCTGTGAGATTATATCTCTTTCCCACCGGGCCTTTGATTCTTTGTACAAGTGTTGTTGTATTGTTCTGATAAAGGAAGCCATGGCACAGCATTCGCTACTGCTGGGATTCTAGGATCTTAGCGATTACCACGCATGCACGTAGGAGCCTCAATGGGTGTTATTGCGTGCATGTAAGATAATGGAGAAATGACGCTTACGAAACAAAAGGTCTCAAAGTGGCTTCGGTATACTTACATATCATGATGGTGGATGTTATTAATCTAGTTGTTATATTCAGCTTTTGTCAGTGAGATGACAATTTTCAGCGGTCATTCATGCGAGAACTATAGCTACAACGTAATGGGCAAACTTTGACTCTAGGAAGCATGGATTGTTTGACGAAAATGACACTCTAGTTTGTAAAATACATATCAGTCCAACTAGCTCAATAGAACAAATAACCATGAATCACATTGGAAGTAAGCTTCGTATGAACTCCGATCGAGCTGTTAGTTTGTCTTCCACCTTCCCTTTACCAAAATCCATAGGAATCATATTAGGGTTTGTGTGTAGGATTTAGGTTTTGACTTCAAAAAAAAAAGGGTAGGAACCGACCAAGACGAATGCCCCTTCAGAGTCAATCCCACTGGTATGGCTACCACAAAAATTCCTGTTTCATAGATGTTGACCTAGCAACTAAACCTCGTTTGATTGGATGTATCTGGCCTAACCCTGGCTTCGAACTTTTCCTATTGACTAACGTATTCCCCAGGTTACTTCGAGCTTCCATTCAATTACCAATCACTTCTTTCTCTCTCAACCCTTGTACTCTTTGTGACGATTGCCATGGATGGGTCAACGAATCTAACTTAGATTTACTCTCCTCTCTTTTTCTTTCAATATTTCCAATATATAAAGAACATCTTCAAAATAGGTATGTGCATTTCCATTATAATATATATACATATAATCTTGACATTTCAGATAGATGCAATTATTACATCAACAAAATGACATTTCAATTTGGATTTTACTAATGTTTTTGTTTTTTTGGGTGGATGAGCACACCACCCATATTAATTGCTTTCAGGCAAACCAACTGCCACTTTCAATCCAGAAGCGAGCAGGAAAGAAATATGTGGGTGTTTTGTGCTCCTGTTTTTGTTTTCTATATGGATGGTTGGTTGGTTTAACCTCCACCCATCCATTTAGTACTAGTGAACGAATGACCGTCCATAGTCCATTCTTATCTGTTGGCTTCTCTGGTTGTCATTCACAGTGAACAAGGACATGGTCACTGTTGCTGTTGATCATGTTAAGTGCACCTTCTTTTTACTGATTGCATGTGTTCATACATGCATGATGAATGCATCCCCTGTTCTGTAATGATCTTGCCTCCAGTTTTCATTTATGCTTCTGAGATCATAGATGATGATGATACGCTCATATGAATACCGAGCTTGTTGGCAAGTATTTTCCTATATCAAGAGGCAAATGGGGACAGAGACAAAGCATGTTGAAAAAGGACCGGAGCGCCACGGTCCAGTTTCCATCACTGTCGTCTTCCCCACCTCCACTTCAATATGTTCCTCATGATTTGTCCACTATGCAGACATCCATCGTGGATGGTAAGTTTGAATCCCAGTCCATGTCTCACCTAATATGTCTCACTGAAGGAAAAGATTTAATTAGCACGGTTGGTGGAGCCAAGATTTTCTTCAACAACAAAACAGCAGATGTCGACAATCACATCCAATCCAAACGTAACATTCTATTCAGCACATTAAATATGAAGAGGTGTTTGATAGTGTCGAAAGAAATGGAGTTACAGGGTCAAAGCTATCTCTTTCTGAAATCATCTGAGAGTCAAGTCATCGGCTTAATCATATTCTGGTGTTAGTGTAGGAAGAAGTCTTTAATTTATTTCTCTCATGCATCATCATTAATTTCTTTACTCTCTTGCTTTCTGTAACTAT